CGCAGCAGGGAGGAGAAGGGGAAGCAGCCATGTTAACTCTCCTGTGGTGGCGTGGGGAAAAGTGATGGAGAGGAGTGTAAGCACACGCGTGCACACATGCACGGCGTGTAAGTGCACACATGGGTGCATAAGCCGCCCGTCCCAGGCTCTCCCCCTGCAGCCCCGCAGCAGCAAACACCACCTCCCATGTCAGGCCAGCTTTTGGTGCCTGGGATATAAATCCTGGGAAGCTGCGGGTGACTGGCTTTGGCCAGCACTTGGCACAGGCATAGCCAAGGTGGCCCCGGGCCTCGGCTCTCCCCAGCGCCCGTCCTGCTGGGCACAGGAGGCTTTTTGGCAGGGGGATCACAGGAGGGCCAACCGAGTCTGCACCAAGCCCTGGGGCCAAGCCGAGCTCCTGTGAGCGCCCCAAGCACATGTTGCCGCATCAAGCGCTCCGGATCAGCCCCCCTGCACCCCGGGTCTCTGGCAGCCCCGACCAGCAGCACAGGGCTGTTCTCCTGCCTGCAGGCAGCGTTTCAGCAACAGCGCAAGCTGCCAAGCAGGCAAGCAAGGCATGCTTGGGGCTGGCCACGCAGACCGCCGAGCTCCACCGTGGGGTGGTAACTCTAGCGATTAACAAACGCTGGGGAGAGAGGCTGTTCGCGCTAACGACTTGGCCGGTTTCCTCACCTCAATTAGTACGCAGGAGCTTGCAATGCTCAGAGGGCCTCCTGGAAAGCCAGGGCATAGCGGGCTTGGGCGTTTTAATATTAATAACGCTGAAAGCTAGCCAGAAAAATCCGAAACCTTAAAACCAGACCGACAGCGATCTTCAATTCTGCGTATTATAGGTGCTGGAAGGAGCCACAGCTCGGTTGGTGCTGAGGCCCTTGGAGGTCACCCTGCAGGCAGCCCTGTGCCTGGGAGGAGCCCTGGGCTGCAGCCCTGCTCGCACCCGCCTGCCCCCCAGGAAAGGGCACAGGGTCCCTTTGGGTGTTCCCCTCGCCCCCCAGCCTGGGGTCTCCACATGCTCTGGGGCTCAGAGACCTTACTCTTCCCCCATCACCCACAGAGGAGAGACCCTGTTACTGCTTAGCAATAGGGAAACTGAGGCACAGCAGGACTGCAGTGCAGCTCTGCCTGTCCAGGGACCGCTCCGCATCTCCTCCTGCCAGAGCCCTGCTCCAAAGACCTCTCTCCGGCGCCCTACATCCCTCTGCATCCCTGCTAGGAATCCGCACCAGCCCGCGTCTGCCATTTCAGCTGTGGGCCAGCACCCTCCTGGGGCAACCTGCATCAGGATCAGGCCATCAGGAGAGGCGGCACCCCTGGCCCCGAGGGCGCTTGGCTGCTCAGCCCCAGCAGGACAGGGGCCCGAGGGTGCTCCCCCTCTGCTCAGGGGAGTCCTGCCTCCACCGCGCATTTCTGGGGCTGGCCCCCTCCCACAGCTTCTCCCCGCTCCGCCCCCGGCGGTCAGTCCCTGGGGAGGCAGGGACACCACGTCCCTCTGAAGGCAGTGGGCCACGGCGCATTCAGTCACGAACGGCCGCGTTGCGCTGCCTAAATTGGAGGCGCGGGTGCTGGCAGGCGCCGGTGCCTCCATGCGCCTGGCGCGGGGGCTGGAGGGCATGCCTGGCAGCCGGGGGGCTGCGCGCCCCCCACGCCACCGCTTCTCCCCTTCTCCGGGCGCCCAGCGGCAG